AGCTCTCCATCCTCCTGGGGATCTTACCTACAACTCCAGCCTGAACTAGTGCCCGGTACCCCGATAAGCCCAGTGTAGAGGCAGTAGGGGCAGTCTGGGAAGCGGGTACGAGGGTGGGTGGCCTTGGGTCCTGACACCGGTGCAGATGGAGCTGGGCCTGTTTCATCTCCACTGCATCAGGGCTTGAGACAAGTTACTTAACCTCCAACCCTGTGTCCTTATCTTATCTATGGAATGCAGATCCCCCCACCCCCATGTGGGCACAGCAGGTGCTGTTGTGATCATGATGGCGCTGTAGCTGTTGACAGACTGGCTGAGGGAGGAAGGCAGTTGCACCCCACGCCAGGCCCACTCCTCTGTGACTTGCTCCATCCTCCAGCTACTCTGATTCAGCCCCTCACCCTTTGTTCAGGGTCCTTGTCTGACAGCTCCCAGAGGGGCTCATCATGTCCATAAATGCAATTCTCTGGCTCGGCACGACCATCAGCACCTAATGTCCCATGTCATTGCTGGGTCTCTGCCTGCAGACACCTCGCTCCTCCTTGGAGCTGCTCAGCCACCCAGGGCAACTCCATCTGGTTGGGAATATCATGGTGGGGGTGGAGGACAAGAACCAAGACCTTCCAGGGACACGTGGGTGGCAATTTTGTATCAGAAGACAAGGAACTCACGGGTATTCCTGTGCCTTTCTGTGCACTTTGGACATTTATCTTGCCCTTTCTAAACTTCCCCTTATCTTCTGCTCCAGAGCTTTAGACAGCTCCTCCCTGAAGAGCAGAGCCCAGAGCCCAGGGAGAGACTGAGGTCTTCTACCCCACTTGGCTGTGATGCCGAGTTGCATTTTTCAGGACCAGCCTAGCAAAAAGTCAGGACTGGGAATGGTGAACTTGGACAAAGACTTTGAACCGAGTGGAGGCCAGGGTCAAGGAGCACTCACCCCAGCATCTAAGTTCCCACACCCAGGGCCTCACTCCTGGCCTCAGGGCCCAAGGAGCAACTAGGGACACTGAGAGCTTCCTGGGAGTTCATATCCCAGCCTCTACCTCAGGTGGCTTAGGCTGTTTTCCAGGACGAGGCCACCAGAGTTGGGCAGTCTTGCCAGCTGGACAATAGATGGTTCCAGGGAGCCCAGAGCCACCCCCTGGAGAGGGAGTGAGAGAGGAAGGAAGAGACATCCAGCAGGGGAGGAGCCCCCAGCTGCACTCCTGCCCCCACCCTATTCCTGCAGCCCCATTCCTGCCTCCTCCACTCCTGGGCTCCGGAATGTTTCTTTTACCTTGAGCCCAGGGAGAGACACAAACCCTTTGTTGGTTCCTCTCAGCACTGCTGGGATCTGCTGGCATTTCCACAAAGAACTTTCATAAATACTGAGGGAGAACAAAAGGGACGTAATTACAGAAAATACAAACAGCATGAAAATAGTCAAGCTTCTAAAGTACAGGTTTCCCCTGGCTGCAGACAGCCACACTGAAGCCTAGCAGGCTGGCCTGCCCTTCCAGCAGGCCCTGGCTGGGACTCCAGCCTCTCTATGGGCTTGCTACCGACCATCTTGGCCCCTGCAGGGTTGGCAGCCAGGAGCAGTAACCGTCTCTCAGTTCTAGCTGCCCATATGAGGGTTTGCCTCAGCCACAGCTAAGTGTGGGACACAATGAGCAACTCACCACTGAGCCCACGAGCATCTGCTGGGACAGGTGACACCCCCGCGGCCACTCCAGGCCTTGTGTATGCACGGCCCCCCCCAGCCATGCCTCCACCGGTGCAATAGAGGTCGTTGGAGCTACTGTCTGACTTCCCATGGCCTCCGAGCTGTGCTGCCCCCATACAGTGGCGAATGTGTGGCATTTGGGACATACCCTGTGTCCGGGTCGGCTGGACTAGACTCGGCACTGGAGCCAAGCTGGCAGACCAGAATATGACGTTTGGAATGTCAGAGTCAGGCCTACGGACAGCCTGTGTATGTTTTTGTTGGTTACATGCACACACGGGAGCTGCACCTGGTTGTGTAGAGTTGGGATATGGCCCAGAGAAGGAAGCCTGCACACTGGAAGCAGCAGAAGGGGGAGATGGTGAGTTAAAGTTCCCAGTCTGCAGGCTTTCCTTCCTCAATACCAGCCCTCACGCAGGCTGGGCCAGAGTCCTGCACCAGGAGACGTTTCTTATGTCCTTTTAATAAATTGTGCTGTCTTCTTTGGGTTTCTGTAACTGGCAGTCTCAGAGTCTCAACACTGTAAGTGGGACAAGAACAATAGTGCAGCAGGGACTCCGAAAGGGCCAATGCTAGCCAAATGCCAGAGACTTGCACAGGCAACTGAGAAGTCCCTTGGGAGGTGGGAAGAGGCTCCCGGGACACCACACACACTTCCCCTCTGTAGGGCAGCTGTTGGAGTGCAGCCCTGAGGAGCTCATGCAGGGCCTCTGTTTTCCTTCCTGCACGCCACCCTCAGAGCACCCACGTCCGCACCTTTCTGCCTCCATACATGGTAATGCACAGCATATTCTGAAACCTGAATTCAAACCCTGACTCAACCACTGATGAGCCATGTGATCTTAGAAATTAGCATCAGCTCCTTGGTCTGGCTCCCCCTTGTCCGCAGCATGGCCACACTGATCTCTTTGTACTCTGTGGGGCTCCTTTCACTGTTCCCTCCCTTGGTCCACCTCTCCTTCCTCCAGCCCAGCCTTTTCCTGCTCAGCTCTTGCCTCCCAACCAGCCCCCTTCGGAGTCCACCCACTTCCCCTTTCCCACCCACTTCCCACAGTACAGGACCATTGTGGGTAGGATCATATGGAATGCACATGAGGTATGTAGGTGGTCTTTGAATGGGATCTTTGACTATGATGCTCAGCCAGCCTCCCCTTTCAAACAGAGACCTCCCAAGGGCAGGCCATACCCTCCTTCTTCTCCTACACTTCTCAAGTGCCCTAGGGGCCAGCCCCGAGAGGATACCTGGAGGAGCCCTGTCCTGATTGCTCCCTGGCTTCCTGCCTCAACACCTCTGACTTCCTGGAAGACAGGGCAGCCCAGAGCCTTTGCTCCCACTTAACCAGAGGTATGGGTCCGCCTGCCGCTCAGTCCCAACCGAGGGACGGTACATTTCTGGCTGTCTCTTCCCCACGTGCCCACCCTCCTTGCCCCTGCGCTTCTCTCTGCGGGGGAAGCTGGCGCCTCACCTGAGCCAACCACCACACCCCCCTGTGCAGCTGGCTCCTTCGCTTCTCTCCCACTCCTGGCACAGGCCTGGAACATCGTCCTCCCTCCACCGCCGCCATCCACAGCCGCCCGCCTTGCCTCTCCCAGCCTTTCAGTTCCCAGCCTGGCTCATCTCCCCCAGGCAGCTGGGAGCAGGGCGCCTTCGATTTCTCTATTCAGTCTGAGGCGCAGCAATTTTCTGCTCTCCCGTAATTAGGGGAATTTTAAGCAAACTCCCCGACGGATGATTACAGCAGGTTCAATCCCGGCTCCTTTGATCAGGGAAGAATGAGGACGTTGTTGGAATATTCCTCGACCTGCTGGCCAGACTGGCGCTGAAACCCACTTTTTGGCTCCCGGGCGCCCCCTGGAGGGCACTGAACTTTCTGCATGGAACCTACGTGTGCGTGGGTGCAGGACTCTCCCCACGCGACCCAAACCTGCTTTATAATCCCAGGCATGGCTTCTCTGGCCTTGGGCCAAAAGTGGGCACAGAACTAGGGTTGAGAATGGTGATGTGGGTTACTTGGGTGTCAACAGGGTCATCTGCTAGGCAGCTGTGAACAGGTGTGCAGGTGAATGCCACACCCTTTAGGGGACGCATTCCCACTGTAGCTTAAGTGAATGGGGACTCTCATCCCACACTTGGAGGCTGAACTTATATCCTGAGGGCTTGAGTGACTGCCATCTTCTAAAATGTCAGAGGGATAAGTTACCCTCTCTGAATTGAAAGGGCCTCTTGTCTACTCAGTCCACTACCCAGCCTGCTGTGCCTGCCCACTGTGGTGCGGAACAACAGTAAGACCATGGCTTTTGGTCATCCTGTGTTTATTTATTTATTTTGGTCCTGGGGATTGAACTTGGGTCCTTGAGCTTGCGAGGTAGGCGGTGGAACTAAATCCCCAGCCCCAAGACCATGGCTTTTTGAGCAGCCCCCCACAAGGTGAATTCTGGTTCTCCTATTTCCCAGCGATGTGACCTTGGGTTAGTCAACGAACCTCTCTGAACATTAATATCCATCTTAAAGAATTGTTTTGGAGATTAAAGAAGAAATGGGAGTGAAGTAACTTGGCCCTTAGTATTTGCTCAGTAAATGTCACTACAGTTTTCTTTTTCCTGCCCAATTCACACAGTTCCTCTCAAACACCATCAGACTCCAGGGAAAAACTCTATTCTTCTCTCCCTGTACCTAAGGGTTGTGTCCCCCACAGAGCTGGGCTGGAGAGCAGACCAGTTATATCAGCAGACTACTAGTGTCTCCATCATTTCTGAGCAGTGGGCCAGGCTTTTCCATAGTTTGGTTAGGTGATAGTTCAGAATAATTATGGCTCTATATTCCTACACTAATTAAGAGGCTTTAAATCATCTTCACGGTGCAGCTCCATGAAACATAATGAAGCCTCACTGTTGAGTGCCTCTCCCAGCCATGGGCCCCTCTTTTGGACCCACTCCGGTCACTCCCAGGCTCCGGAGAGGCTGAAGTGGAGCTTTGGGCTGAAAAGGGGCTCATTTTCCTGGGATTGTGTCAGGATTGTTCCCAATGAGTAGAGGATGAGGCTCCACACCGCCCCTCCTTCGTTTTCAAGAAGAGAACATGACACAGATGCAGGTTTATCTCCCTCTCTTCGCTGCTCTGTTGAGCAGTTGTGCATGGATTCCCGGGGGTGCAGCAGTGCGGGAGAGGGGCACATGTGTACTCAGGCGCAGGGGTGCATGTGTCGGTCTGTCGTGAGCTTGTGGGAGATGGAGATGGTGTGCCGTCGCTCTTCTCCACCAGGGACTTGGGTCTGACATCAGCAGGTTCAAAGCTACTGGCCAGTGAAAACAAATCCACCCCAAGACACCTGTTGGAGGAGGCTAGATCTGTCTTGCTGTACCTGATGGTCTTGTTCTCCACACACCTTGTGAGTGAAGCTGCCCACACCATGTCTTTCACAGCCCTTCTAGCTGATGTCACCTCTACCTGAGTCATGCAGGCATTGTTGGGGTTGTTGTGGTGGGAAGACTAGTTTGGGGTCTTGGTTTTACCACTTATGGAGAAAGTCATTTGACCTCTTAAGCTTCATCCTCCTTATATGGAAAAGGAAAATAATAACCAGTGCTTCATGGCACTGCTGAGAAGATTGAATAAGGTGATAGGATGGTGACAATGACCCCCCACCCAGTGAGAAAGCGGAAAATTGCACCTGCTCTCTCATCTGTGGGGATGGATTTCTGTGGAAAGAGTCACTCCCCTTTCTGGGAGTCCATTCTGTGCGATGATTGTGGGCCAGTGTGCTGTATAGTTTGTGAGGTCACAGAAGTCCTTGGAGGTCAGAATCCCAGCCCTCACTCCAGTAGCACCAGCATTCACCACTCTGTTCTTCTTAACCAGGGAACCCCAAAGCCCCTCTCAACTCTTCCAATGTGAAGCTTGGAGAGCTTGGAGAGGCTCCACAGCCTGTGGCAGCAGGAAGACACACAGATGTTGGGAAAAGGTATTGGGGATATCATTCCAGAAGCCTGGATTCCAAGCTTGTGGTCCTTGGACCCTGTGCCCTTCTGGCTTCCCTTACCCTGCTCCCTACAATCCTGCCTCCCCGACTTTCTGGGGACCAGCAGCCAGCAGCAAAGTAGAAAGAGGGGTGCAACATTTCTTGTGCTCTCTTTTTTAGGAGAGATGGTCCCAGGCATTTTGAAGAAAGTGCTAATCAAGTAAGCACAGGTGACAATAGAGAGGCATCTGCGGAAGCTAGGGAGACACTCTGCTGTCCTCTGTAACAGGACAGGGAATTGGGGAGTGGGAAGGAAGCAGCACTTATTTAACTTGGTTGTCACACACAGGGCCCCCCCTCCTCTGATAAGCGAACACCAAGTGAAGGTGCAGATAAATTGCATTGGGAAATTGACAGCCATGGAGGAGGCCTGGGCTCCTGCTGTGCTGTGGCCTGTGGGTTACAGTTCTGTTAGCTCCTTTGGAATGTGGGGGAATGCATGGCCCATAAACAGGGGAATGTGACACATCACCCTATCTGGGCCAGCAGGGGAGGGGTGCTCAGAGGTGGGCCCAGATTAATTTATATGGTGAAGAGACCCCTTATTCCTGTGAAAGGTGCAGCTCAGATCCCTCTATGCATTGAGGAAAGTGAGGGGACAGAGCAGGGGGCATAGGAGCTGTGAGCAAGCCAGCTGTAGTGCACAGGTAGCCACACTGTGCCCACGCAGCTCTGATAGCAGGAACAAAGCCTGTGGGAGATCTCAGCAGGGGAGGAGACTCTTTCCCACAGGAGGGGCTGGGCAAAGTTTGGGAAGCACCTGAACAAGGACAGGGACAGCAGGCTATGAGAGGGACAGTACTGCCAGGAAATGCCCAGGACCACAGTGACCCAGGTGACAGGAACAGCTTCCCTTATGTATAGCCCATACACTTGCCTCTTGGGCACAGGAAGGGGTGCAGGATGAGCAATCAAACACTTACACATGCCAGTGTGTGTACACATATTTGTATTGAAGTACAATACAATGTGTTGAAGGCTCAGTGTGTAGTGTGATGGTGTTTGGAGTGGAGCCTTTGGGAGGTGATTAGGCTTACAGGAGGTCCTGAGGGTAGGGGCCTCATGACAGAATTAGTGCCCTTCTAGGAACAGACACCCACCTTGTGCTCTTTCTCCTCTTTGTCCATGCACACACACGGGAGAAAAGGCTATATGAGCTCACAGCAAGAAGGCAGCTGTCTGCAAGTCAGGAAGAGGCCCTCACTGACAGAGCCCCACCATGCTGGAACCTCATCTAGACTTCTACCCCCTCACGCCCAGACTATTGTTTAAAATGCCCTGTGGGAACAAGCTGGGCATGTTGAGCTAGATTCTGGTTGTGACTTCTCACTCTGGCAGCGCCCAGGAACTGGGTGACTGGTGGATCTGGGGCTGGAGGGCCATGGGACTGGGGGACTCAGCATAGGGCCGGGAGCCCTGTCTGTCTTTGTGTATATGAGCTTGTGGAAGTGGGGTGGGGGGAACCAGATCAAACTGGTACAAAATCATGACCAAAAAGTCCCTGCGGGTTGAGATGAGCTAATGATTTTTCCCTAGTGTCCTAATGGAAGGTGGCCCCTGGGACTGCCCACCTCATTGCTCTGGACAGAAAGAGATTGGCCCAGCACCCCTGCCCTGCAGTGGACACTCTGGCAGCTGAAGTCTGCCAGGAACTCAGGGCTCTGGAGCCACAACCTGGAGGCTCAGGCTCACACTCCACCGCCTCTGGTGGTGCCCTGTCAGCTCCCTGGCCCTCACGTTCCTTTTGTGTGAATTGAGCATGACAACAATGTCTATATGATGTGGCTGTTGAATAAATTAAATAAAATGCACATGTACGTTAGTCAGCCAAGAGCCCAGCACACAGTAGTCCCTGAACACGTTAGTGGGGACTCCTCCCGTTGCCTTTGGTCCCTCTCTTTCGTGGCTGCAATATAGCCCTGCTGGTCTTAGCTGGTTTAAGTGTGGTAAATGCTGTGCATAAAGACGTGAGATGATAGATGCGCGTGACTGAACCACTGATGGTTTTAGATAGAGTGGACAGGGGTGGTCCCTTTGAGGAGGTAACATCTGAACTGAGGTGGTTTTTTTTGGTTTGTTTTTTATTTTTGTGCTGGAGATTGAACCCAGGGCTTTCATGTTGAGCCAGGTCCACCCCACCTCACTTTTTGTGCATGACAGTGTACTACTAATACGTTGTTAGATTGCCCAGGCTGGGCTCGGACTTGTGATTCTCCTGCCTCAGCTTGCCACAGTGCTGGGATTACAAGCGTGCACCATCACACTCAGCTCGAACTGAAATTTGAATGCTGAGAAAGATTGGACAGTGAAAAAACTGGCAGAGGTGGGAAGGTGGAGCAGAAGAAGGGAGTTTCAGTGTGGGGAACAGCAAGCAGAACAATCCTAAGAGGGGAGCCAGTCCAGCATCTTCAAAGTGCGGGGAGACGGGGGCATAATAAATGAGGAAGAGTGCAGAGTGTGCTGGAGGTGTATTCAGGGGCTCGGTTCAGGGCCTGGCAGAGCAGAAAAGGAAAGACTGCTCCTGAGTAAGGGGACGAGGGAATGGCCCCTGGAACTGAGATTCTGGGAATGCCTTTCCCAGGCTTCTTGCCTTCTTCAGCTCTGGGGGACATCCAGACAACTAAATCTGATATTCTGTGGCACATTGGAGGGTATGAAAGGATCTAAGAACTCTCCCAGGGACAGAAAAAAAATATAAGAAGTCGAGTGTGGTGGCACATACCTGTAATCCCAGCACTCTGGGAGGCTGAGGCAGGAGAATCACAAGTTCAAGCCCAGTCTGGGCAACTTGGCAAATTAGCAAGATCCTGTCTGTAAAAAGATTACACTATGTTAAATTGGGATGCATATTTAGCTCAGTGCAAAGGTCCCAGGTTCAGTAGTGAAACCTAGTAAGGAAAAGAAAATAAGAGACTTTGAGGACAGGAAATAGTACACTAATAAGTAGTTACATGTATATCTACTATGTATTTCTGAAGATGAAATACATAGAAGGGAAATACATTTGAAAAAAGAAAAAGACTTTAGATTTTCCATAAGTAAACATATAAATCAGATAGAAAGGGTGCTGAATGAGACAAAGATGGGGGCATATTAGAATGGAATTTTAGCCTTTTTATACATAGTTTTTAGATCAATTTTAGGCTCATAGCATTAGTGAAGAGGAAGTTCAGAGATTTTTCCACACACTCCCGCCTACCCTTCAGCTTCCCACAGCTCACAGTCCATGCCAGACTATTCCTGTTTTACAATGGGCCATCCAGTGCCCTTAATGTTCACTCTTGGTATATTTATGGATTTTCACAAATGTATGACATATAGCTAGCATTATAATATCACACAGAATAGCTTCACTGCCCTGAATATCCTCTGCCTATCTATCCCTTCCCACCCCTCCCTTTTGAAATCATGGATCTTCTGTCTACATTGTTTTACCTTTTCCTAGCATTGGAACCATCAGCCCTTCAGAATGGCTTCTTCCACTTGATGGTGTGCTTTCAAGATTCCTCCACATCTTTTCATGGCTTGATAGCTCATTTCTTTGTAACATTTAATAATTTTCTATTGTCTGAAAGTATCACAGTTTATTTGTCCATCATCTATGGAAGGGCATCTTGGATCCTTCCAACTTTTGACAATGGTGACTAAAACTGCGGTAAACACCTGTAAGCAAATGTTTAGTGTTAACACCGATTAACACTTCTAGTGTTAACACACTTTCAACTCTGGGTAAACACCACAGGAGTGGGACTGTGGCGCGTATGATAAGAGCATGTTTAGTTCTGTAAGAAACTGTCAAACTGTCTTCCAAAGTAGCTGTAGCATTTGCATTTCCAACAGTGACTAATAAGAGGTCTTGGTATGACACATCCTTGCCAGCATTTGATAGTATCAGTGTTTTGGATTTTGGCTGTCGCCCTTGATATGTAGTGATAGTGCTGACCTAGGAGGTGGGGCCTCTTATAACACACTTATTTCTCATCTGTATATCTTCTTTGGTGAGGTGTTTGTTCATGTCTGTGTTCATTTAAAAAATGGTTTATTTGTTTTCTTATTATTGAGGTTTTAGAGTTCACTGCACATAGTAATAGTTCCTTATCAGTGTTAGGGTTTATAACTAGATGTCTCCTCAAAGCCTCATGCACCTGTAAGTGGGGCATTTGGGAGGTGAATGGATCCTGGGTGTGTGATGCTCATTACTGGATTAGTCCACTGATGGGTTTATAGCTGGGTGTGATGTAAGATGGTGCAGAAGCCTGGTGGGAAGAGGTGGGGTGCTGTGGGCATGGCCTGGAACTCTGTGTGTGTGTGTGTGTGTGTGTGTGTGTGTGTGTACACACACTCCTTCTCTGTTGATCCTGACCCTGCTTCCCACTGTCACACCATGAGCTGCTTCTCCTCGGCCAGGCCCTCTGCCATGCTGCCCTGCCTTGAAGCCAGCTGACTACAAACGGAAACCTCTACAAACTGTGAACTAAAATAAACCTGTCCTCCTTTAAGTTGCGGGTGTTGAGTGCTTTGTCCTGGCAATGACATATGTATTTTACAAATATTTCCTTCCAGTCTGTGGCCTATTTTTTTCCCCGCATTGAGTTTATTGGTACATTTTAGGTATACAGTACAGTTACACTCATCATTGGGATCTTGTACCTTTACATGACAGGTCTGTTCTCATTTTGTCTGTGGCCTATTTTTTTCCCCGCATTGAGTTTATTGGTACATTTTAGGTATACAGTACAGTTACACTCATCATTGGGATCTTGTACCTTTACATGACAGGTCTTGGTTCTCATTTTTTTCCCTTGTCCCTGCCCGCCCTTCACCCCCTCCTCCTCTTGTGGCCTATTTCTCATTTGACAACTATTGTTTGCTGTACCATAACAAGGTGGAAGACAGAGAGAGAGGAGAGAGAGAGAGAGAGAGAGAGAGAGAGAGAGAGGGAGAGAGAAAAGAGGGAGAGGGAGGTTGGGTATTAAATTCTCAGCACATGAAATTTGGAGGGGACATAATCAAACTGTACCATTTAGTTTATCAATTACCTTTTTTAATGGATTTTGCCTTTGGTGTTGTATTTAAAATGTCATCATCAAGCTGGATGTAGTTGTTCACACCTGTAATCCCAGCATGCTGGGAAACTAAGGCAGGAAAATAGAAAGCTCTAGCCAGCCTGGGCCACTTCTCAACTTAGTGGCTTAGCAAAACCCTGTTTAAAAAAGAAAAAGAAAAGGAAAAAGAAGCAGGGAAAACATAGAACACATCTCTCCATTTATTTATTTCTCTAATTTCTTTCATCAGAATTTTATATAATTTTTACATATATTTTGATAGATTTATGTAGAAGTATTTAACTTTGGGGGTGCTAATGTAAACAATATTGTATTTTTGTTTCAATTTCCACTTGTTTATTGCTGGAATCAGAGCAAAGTTTAAGAGGATCAAAAGCCTAAAAGAGAAAGCTTCCATAGAGGGGGGAAAGCGAAAGAGATCATGTACAAATAAGAAGTACCAAAGTAACATTGGTCTCCCCTCCCCACACTTTTCTTTCTTCTAGGGATCAAATCAAGGACCACTTGCACAGAAAATTTACTCTACTACTGGGCTACAAAAAAATACAAAAAAATGTGAATGTATTCACTATTAGAAAATATACCAATATAAGGCATCAGTTTAAAGTAGCAGTAGGCATAAATATTTCAGGCTTTGTGAGTTGGTGGTGTTTGTCTCAACTTGCTCAACCCAGCCAGTGCTGTGTGAAAGCAGCCATAGACAATATGTAAACGAGTGGGTGCAGCTTTTTCCATTAACGTCTGTGTTAAGATTTGGTGCGCAGTCAATAGTTTGCCAACTGTGATAAAGGTAATAAAGAAGAAAAGTTATAGCGTCTTTTAAATGGATGCAAAAAACTTTGGATAAAGTTCAATACCAATAAAAACACTGAAATAATAGGAATCTTCTTAATTTGATGAAGACTGGCTAACAAACTACAGCAAATGCCACACTTCAAGAAGAAACTTTTGATGTAGTATTACTAAGGTAGGGGGAAAAAGAACATGATACTCACTATTACTGTGTATCATTTAACAGACTACTGAAGGTCCTGACCAAAGCAAGAAATTAAAAATATAATACTGGAAAGTCAGAAATAAAATAGTCATTAGTTGCAGATTTTATAATAATGAGAAAACCCAAAAGAGTCAACAAACATTTAAACTTATTAAGAGAGTTTAAACTCAATTTGGTGGTCCATATCTCTAATCCTAAAATTTTGAGAGGCTGAGGCAAGAGGATTGCAAGTTCAAGCCCAGCCTGGGCAATTTAGTAAGACCTTGTCTCAAAAGAAAAAATTTAAAAAGATTTGGGGACGTAGCTCAGTATGAAGATCCTGGGTTCAATCCTTAGTACTACAAAATAAATAAATAAAAATATAAAAGAGCTTAAGGAAGTTGTTGGATTCTAGATCAATAAAGAAATTTGAATACAAAAATTTAATATTGATAATATTCGAGAGACAAATCTAGTTTTTTTTTTTCTTTTTTCAAGCAATGGGGAGATTGAATCCAGGGTTTCATGCCGGAAAATTATTCTACTGCTGAGCTACATCTCCAGCACCTTTTTCTCTGTTCATCAAACTTTGAAACAGGGTCTTGCTAACTTGCCCAAGCTGGCCTTGCCCTTTCAATCCTGCTTCAAACTTTGGAGTAGCAAGTTATAGGCAGGCACCACAGGGGCCAAAGCCAGGTTTTGAGCAGTTAGATGTTTCATGCAATTTGGGAGCTCACTTAAAAATAGAGAATAAAATCAGCTATAAAACATGTTTTCTTAAAAGAAGCTCACAACTAATTACAATTTTAAAAATTGAAAAATGCAATAAATATGACAAACATAAAAGACTTATAAAAAAGATAATTCACTGCTTGACTTACACCTTCCATCTTTGCATCTTTGTATCCCAATGTCTAGTGCATGGGAACCCAGGTGGGAAGAATTCCAGGAAGTCCCAGAAGTCATTCAGACTTCAAGGCAACAGGTAATGATTTCACTACACATGGAAGAGATTGCAAGCCATATAAATACATTTTAGCAACTCCAAGATAGACGTTTTTCCAGCTTAAGCTCTTCTTAGGTACCTGTGATCACTCCAGTGCTGTCCAACAGGTGCAGTAGAGAAGAATTTAGGATGGAAAGAGAGCCACCTTACCAATTGTGGTTAAAATTCTCCACCTTTACAATTTTACAATAACACGGACCTATTTCCAAGCCCCTCCCAAGATCCCAGAAGTGAGAATAAATCTGTCTCTGATAATAGCTATGAAAACACAAAAGTCCTAGGGATTAACATAACAAAGAAGGCCTAGAGCACAAAGGAAAACAATTAAATTTTACTAAAGACCATTAATTGAAAGACCTAAATAAGTGGAAATACTATATCTATGTTTGGGATGATTTAGTCTTGGAAAGATGCCAATTAGCTCCAAATTAATTTTTACATTCAGTTAAATTCCAGTAGGAATATTGGGGAATTAAACTGATTATAAAATCTATATAGAACTGAGATTCACAAATAGCTAATCTAATTTAAAAAGAGCAATGCTTGTTCTGTTGATAATCAAATTGATTAAGGCTTGGCATAGTGTTTCATGCCTGTAAACCTAGCACTCAGAAGGCTGAGGCAGGAAGATCACAAGTTTGGGCCTGGCCAACTTCTCAACTTAGTAAGGTCTTGTCTAAAAAAAAAAA